ATTTACATATATTATACATACGTTCAAATGGGTTCACAGTCATAGCTAACCATATTTTTTTTATCCTCGGCAATATTTAGAAAACAGACAAACGTAGACTTTCAGTTACCGTATCAAAAGGGACAAAAAGTTGTTACCCTTGATGGACCTCTTTTCTTTTCTTGACCTTCTATCCATATGGGCTTTCCATCTAATTAATTTGTAGATCCCTCAAAGTGTTGAAGGTTTATTTTTCCCGCCCTTTGAGTAACCATCTGTCGGTTCCATCTCCTAGCTTTCATTTCGTCGCATTGATTTGCGGCCCTTCCTCAAACGCTTTTCTTATTGTCGAAAGGCAACAACGGGTTCCACTTTCCCCTGCTGTAGAAATCTGGCCCCCTCCCATCGATTCCTAACCACTCTTGAAACCCGCCAAACACCCTCAGCCCAGGGAAGTGAGGCGGGCATTAACTTGGCTGTCTAGTTCATCCATCTAGCCACTTTCTCCAAATAACATAATACTATAACGGGAACTAGACCCAAGCAGATGGTCAGAGGAGAAGGGACGAAGGTTAATTTGGGCACTGAGTTGAACGTTTTGAAAGAAGTCATACTTTGACAACGGTACTAATTACTATCTTTTTTCATTATGGAAGCCGTCAGCATTCTTCAGACACTGTGCCAACTTATTGGGTTGGGTTGCGTTGGGTTGGGGTTTTTTTGGAGGGCTTTTTTTTCACCCAACAAGCAGGAAGTAAAAGGTTTCCTTTTTACAAGATTAGCTCCCTTGGTTCCAGTCAGACGAGAAGCGACGTAGCATATACCCTAGTGGCAAAGCCCATCAGTAAATTGGATCTGGTTTGCTTTTCTTCAAGACACTGCCCTCCACCCACACCCCACACCCCCCACCCCCCATAAAAAAAACAAAGAAAAATTCCACAACCTCCCAATGGCGCACACCCACACAGATACAGCCTCCACTCCAAGACGGTCCAAAAATGGAACCAAAACGGTTGCTTGAAGTAACAGTGCTGGGATTCATTTTGGTATCAGTGTGCACACCTACGTGAAACATCGCTTTTCTTCACACAAATAAAAAATGAAGCTCTTGTTTTACAGGGTTAAAGGCTATCACATCGTATCAAGTTTTCTCATAAGGCTTTTTTCTTGTTATCTTTTGGGGATTTTTGGTTGTTGTTTTTTTTAAGGGGGGAATTGTTGTGGTTGTTTTTATTGTTTTGTTGCTGCTGTTGTTGTTGTTGTTGGTGGTGGTGGTGGTGGTGGTGGTGGTGTGGTGGTGGTGGTGTTGCTGTTGTTGTTGTTGATGGTGGTGGTGGTG